TGTGCGGTGCCTGGCTGTCCTGTGTCCTCCATCATACGCACACACGTCCTGTCAGGGTGGGGTGTCTGTGTGCGGTGCCTGGCTGTCCTGTGTCCCCCACCACAAGCACACACGTCCTGTCAGAGTGGGCTGTCTGTGAGGTGTCTGGGCTGCTCTGTGTCCTCTATCACACACAAACACGTCCTGTCAGAGTGTGCTGTCTGTGAGATGTCTGGGCTGTCCTGTGTCCTCCGTCACACGCACACACGTCCTGTCAGGGTGGGCTGTCTGTGAGGTGTCTGGGCTGTCCTGTGTCCTCCATCATACACACACACGTCCTGTCAGGGTGGGGTGTCTGTGTGCGGTGCCTGGCTGTCCTGTGTCCCCCACCACGAGCACACATGTCCTGTCAGAGTGGGCTGTCTATGAGGTGTCTGGGCTGTCCTGTGTCCTCCGTCACGTGCACACACGTCCTGTCAGAGTGGGGTGTCTGTGTGTGGTGCCTGGGCTGTCCTGTGTCCCCCACCATGAGCACACACATCCTGTCAGGGTGGGGTGTCTGTGTGCGGTGCCTGGCTGTCCTGTGTCCTCCGTCACGCGCACACACGTCCTGTCAGGGTGGGGTGTCTGTGTGTGGTGCCTGGGCTGTCCTGTGTTACTTGTCACATGCACACATATCCTGGCCTTCCCCCCGTGTGTGCCCTCTCCCCTTCTCTGCTGGCTGGAGGCCCCTTGGGTCCTTGTCCAGGCACCAAGCAGCTCAGCTCACACATTCATAATCGGGACCCCCGAGTTCCCCGTGGTGCCTGTCCCTGCTCAGGGCCTAGACAGCAGGACTGCAGGGTGACCACAGAAGCTGGCCAGCAGTGTCCCTCCCAGGGCCTCGTCACCCCATTTCCTGACAGTTCTCCCTCCATCACCAGGATTGCTGAGGCGGCCAAGCACCGAGGCTGCATGCTGTCTGCTGCCAGCCACCTGATCTCCCTGGAGGTGTCCCCTCCACCTGAGCTCGCCCAGAACTTGTCGGGATCCCCGCTGGTCACTGTCCATCTGGAGCATTCACTGGTGAGTCCTGCGCTTGTGAGCAGACAGGCGAACCTCGGTTGTGTGGTCTTCTTGAGTGTAGAGACTTTGACGCGGGACTATAGTTCATTGAAGGATACCTGGTGGCACGGCGGGTTAAACGTTGGATGGGTCAGCAGTTCGAACCTAACCAGCTTCTCCTGGGCAGAACGATGTACCAGTTTGCTTCTATAAAGATGACAGTGTTGGAAACCCCATGGGGCCATTCCACTCTGTCCTGCGGGTCGCTGTGAGGCAGGAAGGGTTCCGCGTCGGTGGTGGGTAACCTGTGGAGTGTGCCATGGTGTTGTTTGTTAAGTGCTGTGAAGTCAGGTCTGAATCGTAGCAACCCTGGTTAGGGTTTCCAAGGAGCGGCTGGTGAGTTTGAACCACTGACCTGGCGATTCAGACTCACCTTGCAGCCCAGTAGTTCTTCCACAGCGCCACACCAGGGCCATAGCATGCTGTCAACGTCGGAATACTGTGAGAATGACCCACGTGGGACCCAGAGACATGAGTGCGCACAGGCTGTCAGAGCAATAGAGCCAATCGACTTGGTCAAAGCAGGGTTACCAGTGTAAACATTCAGGTCTTCAGCGGCCGTCTGCCGGTTTGCTGTTGCTTGGCACTGGCACCCACTGCTATTCTTGTCTCCCCGGAATTCCATTTCTTTTGTCTTTGTTATCGAACACTAGTGACAAAGGCCGTCGGTGGCCCGGGGTCTGCTGGGCAGCGTCTTGGCAGAGTTGGCTTTCATGCCTGCGTGGGCAGCCATGGGTGTGGAGCAGGTAAACTGGCTCACCTCAGTTTTCTAGCGTGAGAGCCATTAGTAAGATGGAGGAATTTGTTCTGCTGGAAAGGAGCTCATGTAAGAGTGTGGGACCATGGTTCATCCGTAATGCTGAGTGATGAGCCATCTGTCCCCAGGTGACATGCTTCCCCGCCCCCTCATGGCCTCTTGTGTCTGCTTGTGGCCTCACGGGCTGCCCTCCACTGCCAGGTGCGCTTCCCTTCAGTGAGGTGCAACACTGATTCTGTATTCTCCTCAGGGGACGGTTTGTATGTTAATGAAACACTTGTTGACTCTGAAGGCTGAGATCTCTCAAGGAAATGACGAAAGGGCCCAATACATTCCTAGAAGCTAAAAAGTATGTGAAGATGGGTCTGTCTGGAGCTTTCTGCTCCACTCTGCTCTGCTCCGTCCCACCATCATGCAGGGAAGCCCTTCTTCCAGGGAGCTTCCAAAGGTGGGTGGGAAAAGGGAATTCAAAGGTAATGGAGTTTGTCCGTTAACTCTTTGAAGCCCACCTCGTGTAAGCAAGGCACTAGCTGTGGGTTAATGCACTGGATTACAAGGTCGGCTTGAACTGCACAATCAGTGATTCAAGCTTGCCAACTGCTCCTCAGAAACCCTACACAGGGTTGCTCTGTTGGAACGGACTCCACGGCACTTAGCACCAACAACGTCCACCTGGAACTACCTTCTCATTCGTTACCTCTGAGAAGACCACCCTCTGGGGGGCTTCCTGAGACTCAGGGGTCCACCAGAGTCTCTTCCCCCTGGCTCTCACAGGGCCTGTGTCCCATCATGTGATACGGAGAAAACGTGTGAAACTGTCCACGCTAGGTTGGTGAGGAAGCACAAGCAAGCCAGTGCCTACATGTGCCGGAACTGTTGAGAAGGAAGCCCCTAGCTAGAGCCAGGCTTCCCTCAGCTTTGCTTCTGCCCCCTGTATGCGCGTGTGTGTCTGTGTGGGCATGTGTGTGTTTAGTTCCTGTCTGAACCTGCAGTGCGCACATGTGTGTGTAGTTCCATCTGAGTTGGTAGTATGTGCGCATGTTTCTGTGTGTGCAGACGCATATATGTAGTTCCCTCTGAATCTGCAGTGTGTGTGCATGTTTCTGTGTGTGCACATGTTTGTTTGTAGTTTCTGCTGAATCTGCCGTGTATATGTGCGTGCATGTTTCTGTGTGTGTACATATGCATATTTAGTTTTCTCTGAATTTGTAATATTGTGTGTGCATGTGTGTACACACATCTGTGTAGTTCCCTCTGAATCCACAGTATATGTGTATGCATGTTTCTATTTCTGCACACATGTAAGTTTAATTCCCTCTGAATCTGTAGTTTGTGTGTGTGCATGTTTCTGTGTGTAGTTCCCTCTGAATCCACAGTATGTATGTGTATGCATGTTTCTGTGTGCACACACGTATGTTTAGTTCCCTCTGAATTTGCAGTATGTGCATGTTTCTGTGCACACACATGTGTGTTTAGTTCCCCCTGAATCTGCAATATGTTTGTGTACATATTTCTGTGTGTGTACATATGTATGTTCTCTCTGAAGCTGCAGTATGTATGTGTGTGCACACGTAAGTTTAGTTCCCTCTGAATCTGTAGTTTGTGTGTGTGTGTGCATGTTTCTGTGTGTAGTTTCCTCTGAATCCACAGTAC